TTTTTTTGGTTTGGAAACTCATACTTATCATTGATCATAGTGATTAAAAGGTTTATATCTTTCTAGTTTAGAAACTTGTACCCAGTTATGGTTTAAGCTAGCCAAATACAAGCAAATCTTTTTCTCACTATCAAACTTTTCTGGTTTGGCAACACATAATAAAGAAAAAGTTATTTTAATATTTTTCACTGGTGTTTTTACTTTCTAGTTTGGAAACTTATTATTATTTACCTTTTTCACTGTTCTCACTTGATTATGTGTTTTCAGGTTTGAAAATGTTCAGTTGTGTTTTTTCCCTTTTATTTTGGTAGCTCACAATGATCACATTGATTAAGTGTGTTCTAAGGTTTAGGGTTTGAACCTTCAAGCCAGCTCAAGTTATTTTTTGAGCTAGTTCAAAATGGATTTCGAGCTAGATCAGTCTAGTTTTCTAGCTAAATCGATTTGGTTGGCAAGCCAAATCAATCCAAATTATGAGTTGTATCAAATTGAATCTAAGGTCAAATTCACTATTTAATTTAGTTCATTTCTCATTCAAGGTTGATTGTTTCTAATTTGAGCTAAACTAAATTAGACTCAGTTTTGATCCAAGTTGCCTTGAAATTGACTAACTTGATCCATGATTTGATTTCAAGCCAAAATATCAACATTCAATCAAAATTCAAGCTGACCATGAATAAGCTCGAAATTGGTTTGCTCATTTTATTGGTTGCACTAAGATCTAGCGCACACAGAAAAAAAATGAAAAAGGATAAATAAAAATTTTTATGCTAAAAACCCTAGAAAGAGAAAAAAACCATGGAGTAGCTCATTCAGAGTAAATCACTATATATTTTAATTGACATAATTTTACTCTTTTATTTAAGAAAAAAAGATAAGATTATAATACTTATTTATCTCTTTGTTGCTCTACTAAGAATTATGAAATGATAACACCAATTAAGGGCTTGTGGTAGAGATAGTAATAGGTTATAATAGCCAGACTTAAATTACAAGCTGTCATAGTTAAGTTACAACAATCATAGGTGATCTTTAATGATTTTTGGTAAACGTTGGCCTTGATCTGTATTCACGAATTTAGATTTAGTTTTCAACACATGAATAACCTTATTCATGTGAAAATTTTTGGTTTATTTATAATTTTTTAGAAGGACATTTTAATATGCCTAAATCCTAAAATAAAATATTGGATGATTTGTGTTGACTTTTTTAATTATAGGACATCCTCTCAACATTTAAGTGTCTTAACGACCTTATAATTAAATGATCTGGGGTGCCCTAAATTCTTCTGAAAATTGCTTAATTTGATTATAGGATTTATTAACTTTAAAGGATATTTGACTTTCTAATTAATTCCTTAAAATTTCCAATTACACTATAAGTGCTTGATATGAGTTTATTTGAACTTGGATTGAATAACTTTTGGTGTTATTCAATTTATATTGATAAATATCCAATTTGACTATAAATCCACTCATTGCACTCCGAACTCAAAGGAAAGTTATTTATCCAAACTAATCGAAATATGGTCAACTTTACGAGGAATTGACGGTCTGAATGACTTGTTAGTGGAAGTATTGGGCTCTGACTAGGTTATGGTTTAGTTCCATTTTTCTTTGAGTTGCATGTCAAAGGAGAAAACTATCTTCAAGTTGGGTGTCGAACGTGACCTCGGTCGAGGCCAACACCTCTTGTTCCTCCGTAAGCTGTGGGGGGGGGGGGGGGGGTGACGGGTGTGACGAAAGCTCGCTAACCAGAGGCTCCATTTTCTCTCATTCTTCGACACTTTTTATCTTAAGTATGAGGAATAGAGGTAGAAAGCATAGGTGGAATGGGGGTCGTGAGCCAAGGGCACCCCGGTTGAGACGAAGCAAGACCCTTGCTCTCCCGCGCTTTGTCCATTTTCCAAACATAGCAGATGCAAAGCTGGGCTCTTGGTGAGGCTTGTCGATTGAATACATGGTCTTGGCCTTGCTTTCAGAAAGTTCGAGTGAGGTGTACCTTTTATGCTTATTATGTCATGCTTGTACCTTTGACCGAGAAGAATATAACATTATTTTTCTTAATGCGAAACATCTTTCTTATTATTCTGCCTGTGTTTTTGACTTATCGGTGTTGGAACATATCTGTCGATGTTCCCCATTTGTTTATGCGACTCAAGTGTGGCTCATACTATTAGTCGATCTATGTTCGCCCTATTGCTAGAGTCGAGGGTCATGAACTTTCAATCAAACCCAAAATGATCGAAAGAAGTTCCCCAAGCCTAGAGGGGACCTGTGAGTCAATTGAACAAAATTAGCCATGAAAATAAAATTTTATTGATAGATTTAAATTTACATATTGGCAACGACACCCCCCTTTTTCTTGTTTTACAATTGAAACGACCCCCCCCTTTTTTTTTTTTTAAAAAAAAAAAAAAAAAAAAAAAAAAAAACTTCGAGGAAATTTTTTTTTTTTCAAATCATCTCCACTCCAAGTAGAAGGGGGTTCTTTTCTGGCATATGTTTTGAGTCTGTAAGTACTAGGTGCGACCCCACTATGGGTCGCTCTAAGTTTGATCCAGCTTACCGGCTACTTGTCCTTGGACGGCTAGATCAACCTCCTTTAAAACCAAGTCTCCTGGAGCAAAGGTCTTCTCTCGAAAATGTTGATCAAAATAGCGAGCAGTTTGCCTCTTGAATTCCTCCAGTCGAAGCGCAGAATTGGTTCTCTTTCTTCTGTCAGATCGAGGGCTAGCACCACCCTCTTAATTTTTGCTTCCTATCGCTCGACTAGGTCTTCATTTGTGAATGATGAGACTGTAGCCTCTCTATAACTACGACGGTTGTACTCAACCGGTAACACTGCCACTATTTCGTGAGTTAGCATGAATGGGGTTTGGCCAATCGCCGACGATGATGTAGTCTGGATCGCCCAAAGCATATATAGTAGTAGCTCAGACTTATTCCCCTTGGCTCTTTGATTTTCTTCTTACCAAGTTCAATATGATCTTTTTAGCCGCTTCAACCTGCCCATTTTTCTTAGGGTGATGGATCGAAGCAAATCTAAGATTGATTCCTTGATTCACACAAAAAGCTTTTTTGCTTCGATCTAAAAACTCTGTTCCGTTGTCGATAATGTTGACTAATGGCAATCCACATCTGCATATGAGGTATGACCATATGAAATTTCACACCACCTCATCAGTGATCTAAGTGAGTAGCTTAGCCTCTATCTATTTGGAAAAATAATCGACCGCTATTATAAAGAACCTGTGTTGGCCCTTAGACCGGGGAAAAAACCCATGATGTCCAAACCTCAAGTGGTGAATGACCAAGGACTTGAGATTGGCTGAAGCTTGCATGTTGGTTGATGGTGTAGGGGCGCGTATTTCTGGCACCGATCACATTTTTAGGAAAATTCTTCTTTTTTACTTGAGTAGTGTCAGCCAGAAGTAGCATTATCGTTATACCCCCATAGGTCGCCGGGGGTACAGTTTCTGGGATCCTTCGAAAAAAGGCATTGCCTATAACCGGTCGCGCGAACGTTCCCACTCATTCCATCCAATGTGGGAACACCGACATAGATGTGGTGTTGTCTATTGGTTGGGAATCTTTTAGTACTTCAGTTGGACAGTCGTCGGGCCAACCATGGGGAGTTGGTGGATTGTCGAGGGGAGCCTTCTAGAGTTGGGCTCCTTGAGACTCTCTCTCCACGGGCGGCAGTCGGGAGTTTTGTAGGATTATGACTGCCCGAAGAGCCTCGAACTGGTCCATTATTTGTGTTTATAATGTCTAGAACTCTTCCTGTATGTCTCGGCGCACCGTCTCTCTATTGAACTCCATAGACACTATTTTTCTCTACTGGGATTCTTCTTTGTAATTGGCTCCGCTTCTCGTCTGGGGCATGTTCCCGCTCACAACACCACCTGTTGGGATGTTGGATTCTAAGTTGTCTATTATGAACACGAGTTGAGAGTTAGAGCCGGGAGGAGGAAGGGAGAGAGAGAAATTTAGGCCAATTCTTGTAATAAAACTAGGAAAAAAACCCTTTATTCGTTTTTTGGCCTACTATTTATAGAGGCGTGTTTGTAAAAATACAGAAATGACGAAACCGTTAAGAAAATTGCCCTTAATACGTTTAATTATGTTGATTTCATACCCCAAATATGTATGACAATTTGAATTTGAATATGGTGGTAACCAAAGATCAACTTGGTTGGGTTTGATCGACCGATGCGATCGGTCGAAGACGATCGCGTCTGCCTAAGTAAAGGCCGCTCAGTCGACTGGTTGCGATCAGACGCCCTTGTAGGGGCGCGCATTTTCTGTCCGGACACCTGACGTATTTCTACGTGTTGTGCAAGTTATTCTTGAGTTATTTTCAGGGTATTTCTGGGTTATTTTCAATAATCCCGAAATAACCCAAAAATAAAGATTGCGGATTATTTCTGGGTTATTTCGGGATTACTGAAAATAACCCAGAAATAACCTAAAAATAACTCAGGAATATCTTGCGCCGCACGTAAAAATACGTCAGGAGTCCGCACAGAAAATTTTTTGCTTATTTGTAGGGAGTCTCTAGGCAATTGAGGTTGCTGACATGGTCCCGATTGAGTGCTTCATAAAATACATCGGTATTGAATGAATAGTTCAGACCATACTCTTTTTGTCTGACGTCTTGATCACCCGACCACTATCATGAATTGTTGAATAGCTTTGACATTCTCGCCCATAGTTCTAATGTATATATTTATTTTTTTACTTGACCTTACCTCGTTATCATTTTATTTTTTGGTCTTGAGCTCTATTGTCTATCAAAAAAAAAAAAATATATATATAAAAATAAAAATAAAAAATCCACATGTAGTGGTTTTCTTGAAATGAGAAATCACTTTTTATAATTCAGCCTCGGGTACAAATGTCATCGTTGAGTAACATCGACAATCGCACACGGCCGCTTCTTCTTCTACACGAATAAAAAAGCAGTTATAGTAATGTTCTCAACTATCAACTATCTAATCCTCCGACCAAGATAACGGACATATGGGATCAGCTCCTTCAGCCGACCGGCGGCCATCAGCCGAGCAGCAGGAGCAAGAATCACTCGCTGCCTCTACCGGATCACTCTCCTTCCTCAAATCCGCATTCGCCAATCTCTCCAACCCTCAATCTCAATCTATCCCCCTTTCCTCGCTTCATGAATCCCTCTCCATCCCTTCCGCAAACCTAATCCTTCCTTCTGGTTACCACACCACCAAATTCTCCCTTCTTCTCCCCCATCTCGGCCCCGCAGTTGCTGACCGCCTTTTCACCGCCGGAAATGATACCACCGATTGGACAGCCTTTCTCGGCGGCTTCAATCGCTGTTGCGCTCGCATGCCTGCGTCTTCTTCCGTTATTAACCTCTATAGACTCTTCTCCGATGTCTGCAGGGGAGCCGGGATTGCATGTGGCCTGGAGTTTGATTCGGACGTTCCTGATGGCGGAAAGGTGGGAGGAACATTTAGGCCGAGTGATCTGATGATGTTTTTGTGGTTGTGTTGGGCTATGGAGCAGAGTTCGAGATTGCCAATGTCGGGGGAAGGGGGAGAGCTGGCGCTTCCCGATTTGAGCCATCTTGTGCTTTCGGCGTTTGTGGCTGGTAATGAGGCCGGGAGTGATGAGAGTGTGTGGAGTTTGGAGGGGTTGAGTGTTGAGAAGATTGTGGCGGTGCAGAAGTTGAATAGCTGGATTTTGACAACTGTTCCTGGGATAGCGAGTTGCTTCTCTCAGTTTTTTAAAGAGAAGATCAAATCCGTTGCTGTTTCATCGGTATGTTAAGATGCGGTAATGCGCATTGTTCTTTAACGGTGTACTTACTTTTTCTAGTTTAGATTTGTATTGAGCATGCCATAACAAGTGTGATTTTTTATTTCGTTGTTAATTTAGCGGTGTATATGCTCAATTTGATGCGAACTGATATGGAAAGAAAGAATTTTATTTATTATATTTTGACGTCATTTAATCATTTGCTTCACTTTTACCCTGCTTAATTATTCCAAATCGTGGCTTATATGATAAAAACAATGCTTAACAAATCATCCTTTTGCACCAGCTTCTTATCCGTAACAACGAATGTACACCTACTGGTGAAACACAAACTAGAAGGGAAGATGAACGGTGCTAATGGAGAAAAATTATCATGTGGATTCTGTGTACAATAGTGTTGTATACTGTTGTATACATGTATTACAACAATGTACAATAATGTTGTTCATGAAGTCTGCATCCATATAGACGCCATATGAAATATTCTTTCTCTAATGGAGGGACCTGATTGGAAAGAATAAAAAGGATATGAAGAATATAATTAATATTGTTGACCATAAAAAATAAAATAAAAAATAATAGTGCTAATAACTGCCCCCTTCCGAGACCTCAATAATAGTCCCCACATCTAGCTCTCTTCTACTTAGGGTCTGTTTGCCGCAGCTGTGGATTATTTATAATCTGCTGATAAGCAGATTATTCTGATAATCTGATAATCTGCAGATTATCAGAATAATCTGGCTTGCTGTTTGAGGTAGCTTGTTCAGAGTAGTTTATTGGTGGTTAAATGACATTCCTGCCCCCGTTTGTTAAAGAGGCAGCTTATTCAGAATAGCTTATTGATAGAAAAAAAACATATAGTGCAGACACATACGATAATAATAGAGATGTTCTAAAAGATATCATATAGTTCTCACATCCTAACGAGTACTAGGAGAACTAAAAAAAGTACAAATACAAGTACAATAACAAATAGAAATATTAAAATATTTAACTTAAGACTCTAGCTACGTTGATCATCAACTGCACGGTCAGCCTGAGAAAACATCGGATTCACATGATTGCTGGCACGACTACTGGCAGTGTAATATGTCAGACTATTAGCCCACCGGAAGAAACCGCAACGAGCTGAAACACCTCAGCACAACCATAGAACTGCCTCCCAAAGCTATGCTCCTTACGTGACGTTAGCAACGGAGACGGTAGTCCACAATAACACAAAATTCCTCTGTCCGTACCTGATATCCTAGAAGTCATGTTTGTATAACTGTGAAAATAACAAAAGAGTCAATGTCGGTTTAAGGTATTATAAAAGTAACCAAAATTAAATACATATGAATATCAACCTATAACCTTATTAAAGGAAAACTTGGTAGATCAACAACCACAAATAACATCTGTGATAGACTCCCTTAAAGCAAGCATATCAGCCAAACCTTCACCTTTCTGATCTCCAAATTCATTAGAGTCTACGTCATCCTCAGATAATGTACATCCACCCACAATTCCAGGAGTTTGGTCGAAGACATTTAGTTCGTCATTGTTAGCCAAACTAAAGTCTGTATCTGATCGTGAGGAATGTCTTCGGATGAAGTTATGTAGTGCCATTGTTGCAACCACAATATACACCTGCGTTTGGAAAAGATACGACGACATATCACGTAGGATGACTCATTTCTTCTTCCAAACCCCAAATGTTCTTTCAATTACCCCGCGTAAAGATGAGTGGCGTTTATTAAACATTTCTTTTCTGCCACGTACGGTGCCACTTGCTCTCTCAAAATCAGGAATATGATATCTTGTGTCAGGATAGGGCTGCAGGTATCCCATTTACATAGGATACCCGACATCAACCAGATAATATTTTCCTAATACAAAAAACACTGTTAAGTAAACTGATTAAAGTAAACTGCTCAAATAAACAAATTGCAAAGAAAAACTAACCTGATGGGGGGTGAGGGAAACACTGCGATCTATTCCTAGTGGCAAATGAGAAAATCCGGCTGTCATGTGCACTCCCTTCCCAGCCCGCCACTACAAAAGTAAAACACATGTTGAAGTCGCATACAACCATGACATTCTGAGTTGTCGAACCACTCCGACCGATGTATGCAATCTTCTCGTGGTTGGGTAGTCGGGCATCAACGTGTGTACCGTCAATTACACCAATACAATTCTGTTTAATTGTTTGTTAGATAGTAATTATATTATGGATCGTATGACAAGTCATAAAATAAAACCACTCATAGTTACTTTGAAATATGACATATATCGAGGATTGTTGACAATTTGTTCTGGAGTGGTGACAAATTATGGATCCTCCGGTTTAATTATTTTAGCTGCTAAGCTAACAAGAGCCTATATGCCTTTAGAAAAGTAACGACTTATTGTTTCAGAAGAATGCTGAAATCTTTCCATAGCTCCTCTAATTGATTCATTTTGTGATAAAATGTAAAGTGTTATAGCCAACACCTCCGTACACGTCGTTCTGGAAGAACCCCGGAGGCCGTGATTTAGGCATAACTCGTGCAAAAGATCCATAAAAATTGGTGCTGTCATTCTGAAAATATTTGAAAACCTTATTGGATGGCCAGAAAGCATTTCGCCAACCCATTTGTCTCCAACAAAGCTGGATGTCATGCGGGGAATGCGAGTAGTGCTACTCCGGTAATAATCCAACAACAATATCGCACTGGCTGTAGCTAATGCCATTCTCCTACGACGCACTCGTTGTGGATCCATCCTAAATGATATATGTAAACATAATTAGTGCATGATAAAGTATTGCTGCAGCACTAGCAAAGACTAATTGTTCAAATTCATAACATATAATACACAACTTATAAATAAACCATCAACCACTAGCAGGTACATAATAAAAGTTTCAAACATTTAAAAAAGAAAGACACAATAAAAGTTCATATGTCTGCAACAAATACATAAATCATACAAAAAAAAATATCATTCCTCGACCAAAACCCGCAAATATTCGATACGCAATTCAACTAGGCAGCATGTCCCATACAATTAAACTGAAAAAAGAACTGAAAAAAGTCTCCAAGAACTTGTCAATATAGACATGGTCAATAACATTAAACTAGGCAACATGTCCCATACAATTCTCAACCTTAAAAAAATCTCTAATTTGTATAGTAGTAAGATTTACCGAAGAAAATATCAAATAAAATACATTTAAGAGCAACTGAAAACCAATTGAGAGAGTAGCAATAAGCGCCTACATTCTTTTAAAGCAATTTCTGCATAATTAGCAAAGTCCAAGAGGTTTCTAACCAAATTATTAACCTAATAATGATACAGACTTCAATATTATACTAAAACTCCATCAAAAGATAACAATATACGTTCAAATGCCGTGGAAACCCACAAACA